CCAAAGAGGAAAGTTTTCGTTTCTTCGAAAGGATGAAAGAAGTTGGAATACCAGTAGTATTTCTAAAATACAGCATGGTAACAGAAGACTCTTTGGCTGGAAATAAAAGGAAAATTAGAGGCTTCGTTTTCTAGCGAATCAAGTTTGAAAATTGTTTAAATAGAAGTTGACTTAGCTAATTCTTTGTAGAATATCAAAATTATAGAAAATTCTAAATGTAGAATATATTTTTTTCCATTTAAAAATTAGTTTTTGAATTTGAAAATTTATTGACCAGATTTCTTGATTGTATATGTTCAATTTTGATTTTCTCTGAAAAATTTTAAGTGATAAATTTATATTTTCAAACTTAATTTATCTGAATTACGGATTATATAATTAAAATATATAATTAAAATATAAATCTTTAGAATTTTAATTTTTCTATATACTATAAAAAAAAAAAATATAGAATAACATTTGTTGAGGCTTCGTCTTCGAATGAATCAAATGCAAGTGCATTCGATAAGAATGATAAGTGTATTATTCCATACATGAAAATAGCAAAATAATAAAAATGAACATACATATATAATCAAAGAATTTTTTTTCAAAAACAAAGAAACTATTTCATAATTCATTTTGATAATTCATTCTTCAACTTGAATTAGTCAATTTCACTTATATTTAAAAATTTTTCCAACATTATTACGAAAACGAAGCCTTCATATTTATTTCCATAGAGAGAGAGCCATATGGCATTGTATTTCTATCATAATTTCTTACAGGTTTCGGATTGTTCCACGTTTATTTTTTCATAGAATCACACATTCTTTTCCCCACTATCATTTCTACTATCATTCTACATATCCGTGACAAGCTTACAAGCTCTTGGAATCGATAACACTTAATCGACGATTGATGGAATCGTGTAACATGGCAAAGAACCGATCGAACACATAGCTTACAAGCTAATTCTCCTTTGGCTAGGAACCGCCATTTCTCCGTGACTTGAATGAAGGATTACAGAGGGCGCAGCTGTCGAACAATGTCGATTTACAATTCAGTCCTGTTATAAAAGTAATCACGACTCGTCCCGCGATTTCTGTCCCGTTTAGTTACCAACTTCTCCATTTTAATCCCCTGTTCGTTTCGGTCTGCCCTCTCGCGGCAGATAAGTATGGTCGCGGTTTCAGGCAAGACGGAACTGTTAGAATATTCATGCGAGCCGCATTATGGCTGCTCGTTGGCAATAATGTGACGCCACGTGTGCTGCTGACAACTGGTTGGAATATATCGTGGAAAGGAGAGGTTTCTCCAGGCTTCTCGATTTGCTTGGAGATAAGATAGCGTATTCTCTTGGTTATTGTAATTCTAAAATTATTATGTTCAAAAGATTTAATCTATTCAGGTTAGCTGTAGCTCAAGTACTTACATATATTCTTTTTCTTTTAAATTATAATTTTGAGCAAAAAAAAAAAATTAAAATTTAGAATTTGGAAGGATCTTTTCAAAAGCAACAATAATATTTTATTTTACTTAGTAATCATTTAAAAATATTAGAGATACTTTGAATTTAAAATAAAAATGAAATAAGAAATGAAAAATTTGGCTAATTTGAATACAAAGATGCTGTATTCAAATTTCTCAATACGCAGAAATTATGAATTTTGTAAAATTGGTCATATTATTAGCGTTATAATAAAATGGCCATTAACAAAAACAATAGACGATTCGGTGACGATGGATTAATTTCTGCATCGCGTCTCGTTCATTATTTCGGCGTCAAAAACTTTCAAAGTGTCGACAATTGAAATAGCGGATTAGAATCGCAGAAATCAGATTGAAACTTTCCCTATTCTATGTCTAAACCAAAATTGAATCATACTAGTTTAAATACATACTGATTTTAATCCGTTTACATTGATCCAGACAATGGTATCGAATTTGTTTAGTAGG